ATTTCTTTACTGCTCGAATTAGCCCAAATTGATTTTTATTGTTAAGAGTATCCTGACTGATACTCTGCCTTAAAGCAATGGTATCACATTGTAACTGCTTCTCCTTGTCTTTGTCCTTCATGTGATTGTGACCTGGGAACATGGTGTGTCATTTCCATAGCCTTAATACCCAACACGGTGCTTAGTCACGCTAAGTGGATCCTCAACATATCATTGTTAACTGATTTCAATTGGTCTATGAAAAGAGGTTCTTCTGAAAATCCAAACCCATAAAATGACAACAAATGACACCAGAATATTTCCAGTGGTTGCTAGGAGCTGTGACCCACCCTGGTATCACTCTGCTTGTAGTTCTTACAGAAGACAAACATAGTGTGGTAGTCAAGTTTGTGTGTCAATTTGGCTGCGCCTGGTTGAATGGTGGGCAGCTGGATGTAGTATTCCCAATCATGAGACTAGTAATCAACTCCATGGTGGAATCTACTGTGAGCAGCTAAGTAGCTGCCTTAGGGATGTGGTTTTCTTCCTGTATATAAGGAGAAGCCTTGGGGAAAGGTCTCTAGCTTATGGCATGTTTGAACTCCGCATGTATCTGTGTCATTGTTCAGTAGCCTGCCATGCTCTGCCGACCTTGGGACTTTCAATGGACTTGAATTAATGGCCTGGAGCATGGTTTGGCAACATTGGGACTGTGCCTTTTTACTTGTCAACCTTGGGCTTGTCAGGCTCAGCAGCTAGAAGCTGTCTGAGTGAAGAAAAGCCTCTAGCTTCAGTGGGCCAGGAGCAGGAGGCAGAGCTGAAGCCCAAGGTTGAGGGGCTTTCACCCATCCCCTAGAGCCTGGTACTTGGAACTCAGACTTCTAGCCTCCAAAAATTGTAAGAATAAACTTCTGTTTGTTAAAGCCATCCCATTTGTGGTATTTTCTGTTGGAGCAGCACAGAGGTAACCAAAACACACAGTCACAAAAAGTTTCATGTTGTTTAATTAAATACAAGATGTTAACATATATCAGATATTTATATACTTAGCAGCTCTGCAAAATATTTGTAATGAACATGAAAAGATAGTCAAATCAGAGACTTTCACTGTAGTGAATGCTGAATAGTTTTAAGAATAACCCCAAAGAAAAATCACTGAGGTGGCAGAGGGCCATCAGACCTGCATCATTTCCACTTGCCCTACTACACATTTTTGCCATCTTCCTGGCAATCTGCCTCGAGACTCGTAGCCCCTCAAGGACAGCTAAGAAAACACAAAGATGAACATTTGAAACATACTTGGCTTTCCTGCCGCAGATTCCCAGGAAACTAGATTGAAGGAAGAGGGAGTCTGGTAGAAAACCAATCAGAATCAGTTCAAGCCATTTACACCCAAGCATGGTTGTGTAATTGACCAAAATGGTTGTCCATTCTTCAGTTTTCTTTTCATGTCATGCTTTGAAGGACTAACAGTTTGTATCTCCGATTTATACATTGTCTCTGCCAGGAGTTTGTCTTAATGAAATCCAAAGGTCAGAAACAACTAGTAATCTTCCATTGTACATTGTCCTTGGGTACTTAATCAAGCATTAGCAGCAGTTATTATTATAAAAAATATAATACATGTTTTTTGAATGCCTCCAATTATAGACAGACACACACTAAATTCAAATGATAACCTCAGTTTAAAAACCCTGAAACATAGGATTTTAGAGCTAGAGGGACCTCAATGCTCCTCTGGACTTCTTCATTTCTTCAAGAGATTTTCTGTTTATGTCAGGTGAGATTTAGTAACTTATCTGCCTTCTCTGTGTCCCAATTTTCCTATGAGTCAAAATAATAATAAACACTACATAGGACTTGTGTGAAGATGAAATAAACTAACAGAGATCCAGATTGGTAATGAGTTGTTTGTGACCTCTTTGAGACTTGGCTCCTATTGCTACAAAATATTAAGAGCACTTACCACCTGATCACCCTACTTTTTTCCATATAAATTTATGTTACTTTGTGGCACTTTCTCTGACTGTCCTCCTACTGAGTACTTTGAATATACCTTCATTATATATAGGTTTCCACATTAGTAGAATCATTTGTTTACAGATCTGCCCCTTTTGTTAGATTTTGTACTTTAAGAGGGCAGGGTACCAATCTTATTTGCATCCAGATTCCCTTTGCCTAACACAATGGTTGGCACATAGCAGGCTTTCTATAAGGCTTGTCAAGGCAATGAAGGAAATAATTAATATGAAAGTGCTTTGAAAATCACAAAAGCACTAAGCAAATCTAAGATAGTAAAATATTGTATGCATTACCACTAATGCAGAGGGCAGTGCTTTGGGAAGCACAAAGAATGCAGTTGTTGTTAGGTGCTGTGGAGTCAATTTTCGTTCATAGCGACCCCCATGTGACAGAGTGCAATGGCCCCATAGGGTTTCCTAGGGTGTAATCTTTACAATAGTAGATTACCAGGGCTTTCTTCCACAGAGCCACTGGGTGGGTATTAACCTCCAGTCTTTCGGTTAGCAGCCAAACGTTTAACTGTTGCACCACCAGGGCTCACCAAAGACTGTTGTTGTTATTAGGTGACATCGAATTGGCTCCAACTCATCGTGACCCTCTGTACAACAGAATGAAACACTGCCTGGCCCTGTGCCATGCTCACAATCCTTGCTATGCTTGAGCCCATCATTGCGGTCACTGTGTCAATTCACCTCCTGAGGTCCTTTCCCTTTTTCACTAACCCTCTACCTTACCAAGCATGTTATCTTTCTCTAGAGATCGGTCCCTTCTGACAACATGACCAAAGGTAGGTGAGGCAAAGTCTGGCCACTCTTGCTTCTAAGGACCATTCTAACTGCACTTCTTCCAGACAGATTTGTTCATTCTTCTGGCAGTCCGTGCCATTTTCAGTATTCTTTGCCAACACCACAATTCAAAGGCAAAAAATAAGATACCTAAAGAATAAGATCATCATTTCACCAAAGAATAAGAGAGCCTAATTATTACTATGTTTCTAAGTAAATAAGGTTCATCAGTTCATGATTTAAAACTCCCTTCACAGACACCACAAAATCAAACATAAATTAAAAATTACTACCCACAAACACTAAAAACAGAACAAAGAAAAAATAAAGCAACCCCCCCCCCCAGCAAAACCCTAAACTTATATATATCTTTCCTTACTTCCTTCTGTCATCTCTGGTTTGTGCGGTTCTGTGCACAACCAGTGCCTGTAAGCCCTTGTAAGAGTGGGGTTAGCTGTATTATTCTGGTCTGAGATTGCTCAGCTGCCTTGACACTGGAGATAAACAAACAAACAAATTAATAATAATAATAACAAGTTGGCCATTGAGTTGATTCTGATTCATGGTGACTTCATATATGTCAGAATAGAATTGGGCCTCAGAAGGTTTTTGTTGTTGTTGTTATGTGCCGTCGAGTCGGCCCCGACTCATAGCGACCCCTCCTTGGGTTTCCGAGGCAGTATCACTACGGAAGTAGGATTGCCCAATCTTCCTTCTGAGGAGTGGCTGGTGTGTTTGAACCGCCAGCCTCCTGGTTAGCAGTCAAGTGCTTTAGCCACTATGCTACCAGAGCTCCCCAGAAGGTTTTTAGTGGCTGATTTTTCGAAGTAGATGTCTCTTCCAAGGTACCTGTGGGTAGACTCAAGCCTACAACTTCTCGATTGGCAGCTAAGCTTGTTAAATGTCGGCACTCCCAGGCACTCCCTTGATTAAAGACAGTCACTAAAAATTCATCCAGACCCAGGAAGGCAAGAGGACAAATGTCAATGATATGCCTCTCTTCCATAGCTTCAAACACATGGCCACAGTCTGTTGACTCATTGTATGCTTGTAAGTCTTCCCTGAAGTTTAGGGCAAATTTGAGGTTGTGGAACTTAGAACAATTTGTGGATGAATATGGATTGGGGCAGTTGGTGGACGCAAAGCAGGGGTGGTTCCCTGTCTTATTGCTCACATGGACCTGTGTCCAGGGTCAGTAACAGGTTCTTTTGAGGTCATCAGCATGTGCAGACTTGGGGGGTGGCAGCAAAAGGATTAAGATCTTGACAACAAATTATGGAAATTCTAGGCTTCTAATTAATTCCTCCTTGAAGACTGTTTTTAAAAAGCAAAATGAAATGGGTTTTGTGGCTTTTCCTTGACTTGACTTTGTGTAGACACGGCTGGCCACGGCACTTCACACACCATAAAAATGTTTATCTCTACTCTTTTCTCTCACCTGTATTTGTTTGGGTGAACATTTATCACCATTTGTCTTGGACAGTCCCAGTTCTTGCTTGTTATCCTAGAGTGATATTTATAGCTTCCCCTTTCACTTTCAAAAGTGACTTGATTTTTTAAAAAATTAACCAAATAGTCATCCTATTAGAGTGAGGGTTGGCAACCAATACTGGGAGGGACAATCCCTACTTAAATGGAAGGCCCGTGACTCAGGAGAGACTGCACTCAGTCAAATCTTGGCTCCACCCCTTGCTGAGTGGACAACTTCATTCCTTTCAGCTGCATTTCATCATCCTTGAGAAAGAGATTAATAATTATAATTGCACCCACATCCCAGGATTGCTGTGAGGTTGATGTAAGACAAGATGCGTAGAGCACTGAATACAGCATTGGGTATACAGTAAGCAAATCCCAACAGTGGTAACTATTATTCTTATCTCCCTTCCTTTTTTTCTTCTTCTTATTTTCTTTTCCATTTCATCCTTTCCTCTACTTTTTCTCATTCTTTCCTGTTTCCCACCCCCCCCATTCTTAAATAATACAATTACATCATTTGGGTGGTCTGAAATTTTGTGACCAAATCAACATGACAGAGACAGGACACTCTTATCTCAAACAGATGCCCCAGAATCAGGGAATGACAAAAGCACAGTTTCAGAATGGCCATTCTGATGTGGTGGGCTAATTTTGTCTTCTTTGCAATGCAGAGGAGAGTAGGAGACGTCAGCCATCTTTGTCTGGTCATAATGGTTCCAGTTCTGAATTTCTAACAGTTCACTGATTTTGATAGAAACTGGACATTGTGACATATGCTTCTTCTTGACTTGATCCCAGGGAAGTGAGGCTGGGCTGTCCCTGGGGAGTTGGATTCAATGTAAGGATTCCTGATTGGAGAGGAAACAGAGGGGGCTGGGTACCATTTGAAGTTCCAGGGCTAAGCAGTAGACTCTGGTATACATGAGGCCCATTCTTGCCAACATCCCTGCAGCTTAGGGATCTGCAGGAGGGTAGCTCATGGACATTATAAATATTGATGTTCCCTGGTTGGCTTCTGAGGGCTGAATCTCCCCCAAAAGTGTCTGGGGTGATGACTGCATGCTCGGAGGGCCAGCTGGGGCCCTGCACATCTGAAAACTTCTGCTTCTCAGACTCCTTGAGTGGTGGAGGCAAAGCACCCTGCAGAAAACCTTCCGCTTCATCTCTGGCTTGAATGCCATCCACCTTATGAATTTGACAGTCCAGGAAGCTTTCAGGATTAAAACTCACATTCAAATTCTGCATGGAAAAAGAGACAAGGCATGAAGACTGCACCAGAGACATACTGCCAAATGTTCATTTCAAGGAGACGTATAAAGAACTTTCTGACAGGGAATTTTACAGGATAACCCACATGTTCCTCAGCTGACTGTTCTGGAAGTGCCATAACAAGCTAGGATCTGAAGTGACCACTGGCTTGACCTTTTGACTCTGGGATGCCTGGAAAGTTCTGAGACTTCTTTCTCATTTTAGCACCCTACCTCCAGAGCACTGCTGCTAAATCTTATAAGGGAAATGACTTATACAATCCAGAAGAACCAAAAGTGGAAGTTCAAGTGTTTCTTATCCTGGAATGTCATTCTTGGCTCCTGGCCTGCCTTCAACATAGTAATAGAAGCATCAGAAGCACTCACCTTTTTTGGTTTCTTACACAGTTGTTCCAGTGTCTTCTTATGATCAGGGAGATTCGGCCAAATAATAGGCTTAATTCTTAAATGAGAGGACATTTTCAGATGAATGCATAGCAGAGGGAGCAAGCACAATATTTCTTTTCATTTATTATAATATTTGAAGGTGGGGTTTCTACTCTTGACTCATGACTTGCTTTCTCTGCACCTGAGGACCAGAAATCATTGTCACAGATTTACTCTGTGAGTAAGACATAATAATGGTACACCACTGGGAAAGAGCTCCGGAGAGAAAGAGTGAAGAGACTTGGCAACGAGATAGTTTTGATGTAGCTCTGGGACTAAAATTTGACCTGGTATTCTATTCCCACTATAGGTGTTGTTATCTTATTCTCTTCATTGGCAGCAAATCCTCTGCCCTAATTTTGCTGGAAGACTTTTGATTCCTGGTCTAAGGGATCTTTCTTAACTTACCCATGGACCTTGCTTTAAGGTGCTGTGGTGCTTTTCAAATTGGGATATTTCCAATCCTGGGGATATGTGTTCCTGTGCTGAGGGCATCTTGCAAAACATTAAGTAACTTAATGCATGTGCATTTAAAACATCTTTTTTTTTTTTAATGATGAAAAACAAAACAAAACAAAACATGACTTTGTCATGGAGCAGAATGCAAAAGTCCCACAAATTTGGGTGCTTAACATCAGGACTTCAAATATATATTGCATTGGCCATGGGTGCTCCTGCCTGCTCACGTACTCTGGCATATGGCTTCTACTCGCTTTCCCCTTTAGGAGATAGATTTTGGAGGGAATGTTTGGGAAACATTGCCTTAAAGGATTGTCTTTTAGGAGGAAGAGTTTGCCTTATGTACCTTTTATATATTTTCACCTCTTATGAAATTTACTGTGCATATTCACTGGGGTCTGAGGATGGGGAGAAGTATTGAGCACTATGATTCTTGAAATGCCTTATTTCCCTTTGTGGTTCTCTCATTAGTAAATGCAGTTAAAGTTATGACTGTCTGGGATCCCACACAATCACCCTCTTGATTGGTTAAAGAAAGTCACCTTTTTTTCCATAATACACAGGCCAAGATGACCAACACACCCACAGAGAAGGAACTCAGAATGCTGATGATTAGAAAAACAGGATCCATCTTCCCTGGAATGCAAGGATAGATCTTGGTTAACACAGTGGGGTAGAAATGAAGGATGAATTGAATTTATTTAATGAATTGTGTCTATTATTTCTTGAAAGTTGTTCTTTAGTAAAAGTATGATTTGCTAGTGTTATGGGGGAATTTTGACTTCAGTAAGTGGCACTGAGTTGGGTGACCTTGGAATGTAAAAGTGATCTAGCCTCAGAAGTACCATCATTGGTTCTCATTTCTACCACCAAGGTGTCTACTCCAAGGCAAAGAAGCCAGAATGGGGGATGTTGATATAAACATCCTACTTGGTATCCTTGGTAATTTCTAGGGTGAAGTTAGAAGGTGGGTAGTATAGAATTTTTTTTCTATATCATCCTCCAAAAGCAAGGTATATGTGGGTACTCGGAGTCCTGAGGGACTTCCCCAAGCTACGTTCTCAGGGTCTTCTGGCCATTCTAATTTTCTACATTCATAAAAATCCAAACCTGTTGCCATTGAATTGATTCTGACTCATAGTGAACCTATAGAGTAGACCTCCCCCATAATGTTTCCAAGTCTGTAATCCTTATGGAAAGGTGTGGATCAGGGTTATATCCTTTCACCATACTTATTCAATCTGTGTGCTGAGCAAATAATTTGAGAAGCTGAACTATATGAAGAACACGATATCAAGATTGAAGGGAGACTTATTCATAACCTGAGGTATGCATATGACAGAAACTTGTTTGCTGGAAGCAAAGAGGACTTGAAGAATCATTACTAATGAAGCTCAAAGACTACAGTCTCCAATATGGATTACACCTTAACATAATAATAATAATAATATTGATAATAATAATAATAATAATAAAATACTCACAACTAGACCAATAAACAACATCATGATAAATGGAGAAAAGATTGAAGTTGCCAAGAATTTTATTTTACTTATATTCACCCATCAATGCCCATGGTAGCAGCAGTCAAGAAATCAAAAGTCACATTGCATTGGACAAATCTGCTGAAAAAGACTTCTTTAAAGTGTTAAAGAGCAAAGATGCCACTTTGAAGATTAAGATGCACCTGATCCAAGACGTGGTATTTTCAATTGCCTCATCTGCATATGAAAGCTGGACAATGAATAAGGAAGACCAAAGAAGAATTAATGCCTTTGAATTATGGAGTTGGTGAAGAATATTATATATACCATGTGTTTTGGTTCTCTAGTGCTGCTATAACAAACATACTACAAATGAATGAATTTGACAAACAGGGATTTATTCTCTTACAGGTTTTGAGGCTAGAAGTTTGAGTCAAAGTGCCAGCTATAGGAGCTGGGTAAAGACCCCTTGACTTTAGGCTTCAGCTCTGCCTCTTTCTCCCTGCCCACTGGAGCTGGAGATGTTTCTTAACTCAGACAGCTACTGGATTCTAAGGCTGACAAACCCAAGGTTGAAAAGTAAAATATTATAGCCCAAGATTATCAAGCTACATGGTAGGCCACTAGTTTAAGTCCAGAAACAGTCCCAAGATTGCCAGACCACATGGCAGACCACTGATGACTTGGCCAAATGCAGGATCCAGATGTGGCAAGAAGCTCAAGAACTTTCTCAAAGCATCTCCTAATATTCTGGAAGCAGGCCACATCCCAAAGGCAATGAATTAGCTCATCACAGCAGGTTCCGCCATGGAGTCGATGACACCACATTCAATCTCATTAGGGGAATCACTGCATCCAGCTGTTCAGCCACTCAAACCATGGCCCAGCCAAGTTGACACACGACTTAACCACCACACAATGGGTTGACAGAAGAATGAGCAAATCTGTCTTAGAAGAAATACAGCTAGAATGTTCCTTAGACATGAGGATGGTGAGACTTCATCTCACATACTTTGGATACGTTATTAGGAAGGACCAGTCCCTAGAGAAGGACATCATGCTTGATAAAATATAGGGCCAGAAAAAAGAAGAAGACCTTCACAATACCACATTGCCATTAACACCAAACACTAGGCTATACAGATAAACACACAAACACCTGAGATGATCAAACAGGGATAGTGAACAGAAGTATACTCTAGACCAAGGACAGACTCAGCTGAGGCTAATCTTGTACAAACACCAGTGATACAAAATACCTGCAGTCCTTATAGAAACAATAGAAGGCAGACACAGAGTAATCCTTCACAGACATCCCAACACTATGGGAGAGAGATCCAATAGAGCTACTACCTCAGGACCATAGTACTGGGGTATACCAGACTCAATTGGCACAACAAATACACAAAAGCATTGCTCCACATCCTACATTGGTGAGTAGCGACTGGCTTTCAAGCAGCCATTTAAGATGCAGCTAATGGTCTCCTAGCATCAGAAGAAAAGAAGAATGCACACATAAAAAAACAAAAATGGGCATTTAGAAGCAATCAACCCTAGGACACGATGGCCCTCGAGACCAGAAGAACTGGATGGTGCCCAGCTACCAATGCCAACCACTCAGGAAAGGATCAAATCTGGAGATTCTGGATAGGGTGGGAGGGAAAACGTGGATCCAAAAACTCAATAATGACCAGAATTACTGGTCAGATGAAATCTGGTGAGACCCCCCAATACTATGGTCCTGGGATACATTCTGGGCCTGGAATAAAGCTCACCCCTGGTGGCAGGCTTTCAGCCCAATAGTTAACAAGATGTACATGCAGACCACTCAACCCAGGATGCCGCACCCATACACTAAATGGTAATACATTCCTTAGAGCAATAGACCATGGGACACCAAAAGACCAACAATCAAACTGAGGAAATGCAGGACAAACAGGAGTGCATAATTATGAGGGGCACAGGGGGAGTGTTGCAGGGTAGGGAGGGGAGGAGACTGGGTTAGGGCTGGACATGGCGAATGGGGAATGAAACTAAAGGTATGTGTGACTTTGAATGTAAAACAAGCTCTTAAAAATAAAAAAAAAAAAGGAGAGAAAAAAAAATCCAGCTTTATAGGACTGGTTGAGTCTGGAGAATCCCAGAGACTATTGTCCTGATATTCTGTCCCCTAAAACAAAACTACCCCTTGAGGTCACCCTTTAGCTAACTAACAGATTAAGTCACAAATAAAGAATATCACCAGTGAATACTGAGCTCCTTTAAAAAATAATCAATATGAGACCTAACCAAAAAACAAACTCACTGCAATCGAATTAGGTCCGACTTATAGTGGCCTGTCCTTGGGTTTCTGAGAAGGCATCACTACGGAAGTAGATTGCCCTACCTTCCTTCTGAGGAGCAGCTGGTGGGTTTGAACCACCAGCCTTCTGGTTAGCAGTCAAATGCTTTATCTTAAAAACAAGATGAGAAGGAGACAGAGGAAGTAGATTATTAGAAAGGGAGCAACATGAAGGGAAATAATGAAAATATTCACCAACTGAGTAGAAAGTATCAAACAGAAACCTAATCTGTTGTCTAAACTTTCACCAGAAGCACAATTAAACATTATTAAAAAAAAGAAAAAAAAAGCTGTGATCAGTTTGATTTTGGCTCATGGTAACTCCATGTGTATCAGAGAACTGTGTTCCATAGGTTTTCAGTTGCTGAATTTTCAAAGCATTCAGGACATTCTTCTAAGGTGCCTATTGGTATAATCAAACTACCAACCTTTTTGCTGCAGCTAAGTGCATTAAGCCCTTGCATCACCCAAGGCCTCCTATTGTTATCATAGAAATTAAATTATTTATTAATTAAATTTAATTATTAATTAAAATAAAACAAACAAGAAAACATTAAAAAAAAAAAAAGAAAAAGAGAGAAGACCCTCAACAAGATGGATTGGCAGAGGGCTGCACCAATGGCCTCAAACAGCAGTGACTGTGAGGATGGTGCAGGGCTTGGCAGTGTTTCATTCTGTTGTACATGGTGTTCCTATGAACCAGAACCGACTTGACATCTGACAATAATGACAAAGTATGTTACAAAACAAAGATGGCACCTCGAGGGCTAAAGTTCACCTTACACAAACCACTGTATTTTCAATCGCCTCATATACATGTGCAAGCAGGACAATGATAAAGGAAAACTGAAGAAGAATTGATGCCTTTGGATTATCATTTTGGCAAGGAATATTGAATACACCATGGACTTGAGAAAGAATGAACATATCTGTCTTGGAAGAAGTATAGTCAGAGTGCTCCTTAGAAGTGAGGATGGTGACAAGTTGTCTCATATACTTTGGACATTTTATCAGGAGAGACCAATCCCTAGGAAGGACAGCACATTTAACGAAGTAAAGGGTCAGCTGAAAAAGAAGGAGACCATCAATGAGATGGATTGATATAGTGGCTGGAATAATGAGATAAAACATAACAATTGTTAGGATGGTGCAGGACTGGAGAGTGTTTCATTTTGTTGTACATTGAGTCATAACAACAACAGCAACAACAATCTTTACAGAAGCAGACGGCCAATCTTTGTTCCGCAGAGTGACTGGTGAGTTCAAACTGCAGATCTTCCTATTAGTAGCTGAGTGCTTAACCACTGTACCACTAGGACTTCAGTCTAGGTCCATACTATTCATAGTCACTGCCATTGAGTTTATTCTGACTTATAGCCACCATCATAGTGTTTCCAAGATTGTAAATATTTACAAAAGCAGACTGCCTCATCTTTCTCCTGTGGAGCAGCTGGTGGGTTTGAACCACTGATCTTCTGGTTAGCAGCCAAATGCCTTAACCACTGCACCACCAGAGCTCCTCTTCTAGGACCATAGGACATACTGATTATGCTGGAAAAGAAATCATGGATCAGCCACGCTAGCCTGCCTATCCATCACAGCAATAAAAGCATCCTTTGGAGGAACCTTAGAGAAACCTCCCACAGCAGAACGCATGGAGTCGCTATGAGTCGGAAACGACTCGGCGACACTTAACAACAACAACAATAAATTGGCAAATTGGAGGTAGTGGATGGAGATTTTGTTTACAATTATTAGCAACTATCAGAAACACCCAGGACAGCAACATCCAGACAGCCTGCACCCATTAATTAGCTACTAAGAACCCTCTTTTCACTGCTCCCTTGTTCTTCATAAAATGGGTAATGATGACAGTTCATTCAAAGAAATTGTAAGAATGCTCTCCGTGGGAGTCCTAAATTCAGGTTGGTTTCCTCTGTCTCTCTCACGCTTGCACACACGCTTTCACACACAAAGAATTATGGGAGAATAAAGACGCTACAGTCACTCCTCACCTCCATCATCGGGATCTGAAGTTCTAAAGTGGTAACTTGGACTCCATGCACTCCAGAAGCCTTCAAAATACTTTCCAGTAGGAATAGATCGGACTTTAATCTCATACATTGCATCAGGTTGTAGCTTTCTCTGCAGGAGTGCCAGCTTTGTGCTGGATAAATTCACGTGCTAAAGAGTAAAAGTTTCATTGCATTTTTAGAATGGAAAAAGAAGGATGCCTAGATGTCCCAAAACAGTCCAAGTTGAGCTTCTTTCATCATATGGACATTCTCTCAAAGTTCTATAACATTTGTTAGAATTTTTGACAAGTGGAGGTGTCAGCAGCAAACTTAGTGGCAGAGTCTGTCTTAATGTCATAAATGTTGCTGCAAGTGGCCAAGGAGTGCAGTGGAACAATGGGTCTTTATTCAGTTGAATAAAGACCATGTTTGGGAAGATGTGCATCACTTCCTTTCTACACATCAATCTCTTCTTTTTCTTTCTCCCACCTTTCAGGTCCCAAGGGAGGTAAAGGGAAAGTGTGAGGGTCAGAGAGCAAGAATTATTTTCCTCCAGAAGGTAACAATTCTTCATTGTAAACAGCAATATTGAGAATGTCAATTTCATAACAGTCTCTCTAACATTATGTATTATCCTTAATTTAAAAAATCTACTCATTTGATGGGTTAAAATTAAAAAAGAATCCATTGCTATTTATATTTGTATTTATTTATTAGTTTTAACATATTCATTGAATTTTTGTTTCTTCTTTTTTGAAACCCTTTTCCACATTATTCGCTGACTTTTCTATTGTAATATTTGTCTATTTCTTAATGATTTATAAGAGCTTTTTATATATTAAGGCTATTAACTACTTCTCAGTTGCATATGTGACAGTTTAAAACTAATTTTTAGTTTGCTTTACAATTTTGTTTATTGTGTGTGCTAACATATATAAGCCTCCATATTCTTTTTTTCAATCTTTTCCTTTCTTTCATGCTTAGGACATTGTATTCTTTTTTTTTTTTTTTTTTTAATGTGGTGAAAGTATACATAACAGAACATTGTCCAATTCAACAATTTCTGCTTATATATTTCCATGACATTGATTTTATTCTTCAATTGTACAGTCACTCTCACTATCATTTTCCATATTATTCCACCACCATTAATGTAAACTCAATGCTTGGTTTAAAAAAACAAACAAACAAACAAACAAACAAACTTTTCCTCTTCCCTCCCATTCTTGATAACCAATAATAATCTTTGGTTTCTATATATTTGCTTATTTCAGATAATTGATTCATACACTACTTGTCCTGCAACAGACTTAATTAGCTCACCAAGATGTTTTCAAGATTCATTTATGTTGTGGAATGCATTACAACTTCATTCCTCTTTATGGCTGCATAATATTGTGTTATACATACCTATCACATTTTGTTTATTAATTCATCTCTGAATGGACACTGTTCAGAGAATAGCATGTGAACATGGTATAAAACTACATTTTCTGAGACCTCAAGTAAAGAGGATTGATTTGGTCTCAATCTATATTGTTAGTTTGACTACTTAGAAACATTATAAAGACAAAAATTAGAACAATTTAAAAAGGAAAAATCAGAGCTAGAACAGACACGGGCTAGGAAACATCCAGGTTTGTGGGGCCTGAAGTTTATGCAAGAACTTCTTTCAGTAAATGGTACATTTGGAACAAAAAACTGCTTTGGGCCTTCCCAGGGTAAATATGTCCCTGGTACAATAAAATATGTAACACTAAGAAGTTTTTAGTTTATAAATGTAATTGAGCTACATACCATCCAGTTGTTTTTGCTTTTTTCCAGGCGGTAGGCTACATCATGCACTAGTTCTTTTACATAATTCTTGTGCAGGTGTGAAGTATTAAATGTCACTAAAAAGTCATTTGCTCCCTCACGATAGAAGACTTTTAAGTCAAAAGGAGCCTCGGGCTTAACTAGAAAGGAAAATGAAATGAGGTGAGTCTCTAGGGCAGTCAACAAAATAATATTTGAATTCCATCTACTCCAAAATCACATTTCCTTCCTGTGGTAGTAACTAGCTATCTGTTCAGAATACCATTTCAAAGCCAGACAACACTTCCCAGCATTCCTTGAGGTTGAGTATAACCTGGTGATTAACATGAACAAAGGTGTTGTATAACACCTCTACTTCTGTGTGACTCCAGTCCTCATTCTTCTTCCACCATTTAGAATCATATGTCAAAGATAGTAGAGTCACAGCCACAGCACGGAAGGTGCCCTGAATATTGTTTGGAAAAGCACCACTCACTGATTTGGAACACCCATTTTGGATCTAATGTGAGTAAGGAATATATTTACTACGTTTGAGATATCATATGTTTAGGGGCTTATTGTTACAGCAGCTAGTGTTATACTAGAACATATTTTATTTTTCATTTGACAAGTACACAGCTTGTTACTAAGAAGCCCTTATGACATAGTGGTGAAAATATTTGACTGCTAACCAAGAGGTTGGTGGTTTGACTCTATTAGCTGCTCTGTAGGAGAAATGTGAGGCAGTCTCACTCCCTAAGATTTACAGCTTTGGAAACCCTTTGGGCAGTTCTTCTGTCTTATAGGGTTACTATAAGTAGGAATTGACTCAATGGCAGTGGGTTTGGTTTGGTTTTGGGTTACTACCAGATAAGCAGGAGGATTTAAGTTTTAATCAGTTACTGCCCATTGATTCTGACTTATGGTAACCTCATGTGTGTCAGAGTAGAACTGTGCTCCGTATGGTTTTCAATGACTGAGTTTTTGGAAGAAAATCAGCAGGCCTCTGGGTAGACTGGGACCTCTAAGCTTTCAGTTAACTGCTGACGGTGAGTGTCTATCACCCAGGGACTCCATTTAAACTTTGAGTCTTCATAATGCAATTCAATTAGGATATGCTGGGGATGTTGCACCTCATCTAATCAACACAGAAGTTATGGGCCTGTATCCTGGCCCTGGCCCATATGTTGCAGAGTGACATCAAGCTGCCCTCTCTCTCAGTCTTATCTGCATTAACTCTAAACTCTTATCTGGCTTTCTTTTCTTGACCTATGTCACAAAGTTGCTATTAAGATCAAGTACACCTGATAAGAAATTCTGTTGGAAGGAGTTAGGTGTTATTTCAAGCAGAACAAATCCTTAGACGGGTTTGAATTCCTACAAGAGTGTCTGTGTTCAGGCTGCCTGCCCTCCCACTGGTGTGAGGCTTCGCTGTCTTGGTCTTTTAGCTGCTCATTCACACACTGGGAAGTTAGTGGTCTAGGGATGAGGTGGCTACCTTTTTTACATGGTTAATGTTAAGAAGACTCATAATGGCTTTAAAGGACAGAGTAGAACTGCCCCATATGGTTTCCTAGGCTGAAATCTTTATGGGAATAGATTGCCAGTTCTTTTCTCCTCCAGAATGGCTGGTAGGTTCTAACTGGAGACCTTTAGGATCACTATGAGTTGGAATTGACTTGACCCATAATAACACCACCACTGCCAGGCAGATATGGGGGAACACATAGCTTAAAATCTAACCTAAACCTATTACTAATGAGAGCATGTGTGTTCTCACGTGTGTGTTCAGTAGACTGAGCTGGATTTCAGGCTGCCTGAGCTAAGCTTTTTCTAACTCACTCATAGAGCCAGTAAAATGAAACCTGTGGTGGAGTTTGGCCCAGTTATTGCAGGGACTTGCTCATAGTGGAGACAACCTTGTTTCTCCATTGTCCTAGAGGTACTGCAAAAGGGGAAGTCGCTCCTTCTTACCCTTGGATGTCTTTTAAAAGGGGAAGTGTATCCTTTTTTACTCTTAGATGCACTATAAAAAGGAAGCTGCCCTGGAGGGGAGCAGGAGGAAGAGGGTAGGGGTAGAGAAACAGATCAACAGAACTTGGCCCACTCTGTTACTCCTCCCCACCAGTTCCTATCATTCATTTAAAGAAATAGTTAAGATTCACATTCTCAACAAAACCTTCTCAAGCTAAATCTCCTCTCCATCTTCAACCCCCAAAGACTCTCAACAATGCAGGAATTCATGGAAGAACAGAACTAATATTGGTTAAACCAAAACAACAACAACAAACCCAAACTCACTGCCCTAGAGTTGAATCCAACTCATAGCAACCCCTCCTTGTATTTCTGAGGTGAGTCGGGGCCGACTCGACGGCACATAACAACAACAACAACAACAGGTATTTCTATGGAAGTAGATTGCCCCGTCTTCCTTCTGGCTAGCAGTCAAATACCTTAGAAACTACACCATACTCCTACTAAGTGCCAAGTGCTTTATTTATGCCACTTTCAAACAATATGATGACTTATTTCTACTCTACGGTTGAGGAAACTAAGCTTCAGAGAACTTTCTAAAGTTTAGCTGGTAGCTGTTGTTGTGTGCCCTTAAATCGATTCCGACTCATACGGACCTTGTAAGACAGAGCAGAACTGCTCCGTAGTGTTTCCTAGGTTGTTACCTCTACAGGAGGATGTCATCAGGTCTTTTCTTACATGGAATCCTGGTAGGTTTGAACCTCCAACCTTTTGGTTAGCTGTGGAGCACCTAACCATTGCCCCAGCAGCACTCCTTTTCTATGGAGCTCAGGTCCTTGTAACCAGTTGTGGTCAAGTCATTTTGACTCATGGTGCCCCCTGTACATCAGAGTAGAACTGTGTTCCATGGAGATTTCATGGCTATGAACTTTCAGAAGGAGATTGCCAGGCCTTTCTTCTGAGACCCCACTAAGCAGTCTTGACCTCCAATCTTTCTATTAGTAGTCGAGTGATTTGACCATTTGTATCATCCAGGGAATTCATATAATTGTTTAACAGGATTTAAATGTCATTCTGCCTGATTCTGGGGATTGCTGTCCATTTAGCTTTTGCTTCTACATTTTGTCATCCTACACTTGCTTATCTAGCTACTCCAAAACAGGCTGGTCTCTAGCCCAACTGGTGTTATTGGGAAATTAGAAAAATGTGTCCATTCTTCAAGTTACATTTTTGAAAATTCATATACTGTTACACAATCTGAACAATTTATAGATCACCCTGCTAGGAACACGGGGAAGACAGGAACTGCCACCTCCAACCTCATGGAGGACATACCAGAAGAATAAGAGGTAAGTGAGTTGGCAAATGGTCTTAGGGAGCTGTGATCCTGGGGTTCCATTAGGAACATCGTATTTAAATTCAATTAAATGATTGAATTAAACTCAGTTCTTACAGGATTAAACTGGTCTTTTTACTTGCGTGCCTGGGACTCCATATGTGCTTAGTTGGATGCAGCAGAGTCAACTCATACCTTTCACAGGCTCCTGTCACTTGGCTTTTTAACTACTAGAAAGCAGAAATGCTAGGGAGTGATTTCTCTTTAAAGTCAAGCCAGGATGTGAAAGAAATGCATTCTAAGGAAGAGAATTTCAATACAGCTATCTTTTATATGAAGTAGTACAAAGAAATATTTATTTATGACAAGGATGTAATAAAGAGAATGGTTTTGAAAGGTCTTGGAGCCAGCCTTACATAATATCTCCCAGACAACTTAAAAGTTTTAGTGAGCTGTTTCTGGGAAATGAAGTCCTGGTACCAAAGGGTTATCTTCAATTCCTGAAACATCTGATTACAGCTATTTAAACATCAGTGAGTTATATTCTTATGATCCCACCTAAAGGATATATGACTATGATTGATAATTTCTGGAATCAGCTCCAGAAAACTGAGTAAGTTATACTCAGTTTTCCAGTACAAGCCCATTCCCTGCCCCTAATGCATCCTCCTTGGAATTCCAACCAAAGACTAACCAATTAAATGACTGTACTATAATTTCTTTGTTCCCGGGACTATATTTGCCATTGTTAGAAGCTCTTTAGTTGAAGTCATCAATTCTCATTTAAATTACCTTGTGTCTCTCTGTCTGCATTCAAATGTACCTTTTTTCCTGAATAAATCCTCTTAATCTCATTTTAAGGACTGAGTGTTTTTTTTCCCCCTCACTGCAAAACTTGATAATTCAGCTAAACACACTCTGAATATGATGGAAATATGGGGATAAAACTGAAAGACTCAGAAGACAAGGACAGAAAGGAAAGGATATATAAATGTGGATGACAGCAGGCCCAGCTCCATTTAGGTTCTTCATACAGATTAGTTCTTGCTGCGGTCTGTAGCTACTACTCTACCCTCTCCCATCACTGAGTCTGAAGACTCTCAGAATGCTCTCACACCAAGAATTTGTAGCTAAGTTTCAAAATTTTCATGTATTTAAAAAAATATTTCCATTAGATAATTTGCTATTATCTATTGCAAATTGTCCCCACAATTTGCCTGATTTTAACATACAGAATCCGGACACCATCAGTGTCTTCAGACTCCAAAAACGTGTCAAGGGTAACCGCACCCCCACATACAGCTTCTTACCTATCTTGACTATATTCATTTTTCTGCAATTTATGTTTGTCGTTCCAAGCTTCACACATATTTTGCTGTCTCCAATCAGTAAGAATTTCCTTGTTTTGATGAAATATTTGTCTTGTAGTTTATTCAAAGTCAGGCACTTTACCTCCAAGAGGGCATCACTATAGAAACAAAACAACAATCTATTTTAATTCAAGCAAGAGTTTCTCCATACTGTGGGTTAGCAGCATATGGAGATTTTAGTTGTGTGACTTCAACTTAGTCCATAAGTATGTGGGTGTGGGTGATGTATGTGCAAGAAAGAGAAAAGAGAACAAATGAAAAGAATGTGGCCTCCTGCTGCTATTCCACTCAATGATGACTGACTCAGGTGTTAGATATAACTGCAACTGATACAGTCAAAAGTATCATTGTGAAGAAATATGAATCAGAAATATATGACAGGGGCAGGGATATCAGAAAGAAATATGAATGATTTTAGGGGTTTCTTGATCACTGAAAAGCAAGAAGTAGGAAATGATCAAATATCCTATTTACATTAAATCACATATATTTAATGGGTAATTTAACATATTTTCATAGGTAATTTGGACTGTGCTCAACTTTTGCTTCATCAGTAGACTTTAAAAAATCAACCCTTTTCCCCACACTCCCTAACTTAACAGGCAATAGTAACGCCTTAGGAATTGCATTCGGTCACTTCTCTAACCTCTTCCTTCCAACTAAAGTAAAGCTTTCAGGAAATTAAGGAAGGGAGAATGTTGCCTATTGTACCTATGATTCCCTGGTGGTGCAAACTGTTAACGTGCTTGACTGAGAGTGGAAAGGCTGGAGGTGTGAGTCTACATGTAGGTGCCTCAGAAAAAGGGTCTCGCTAAGTATTTCTGAAAAATCAGCCGTTGACAACACTTTGGAGCACAGTTGTAGTCTGACACACATTCGGTCACCATGAGTTGGAATGGACTCAAATGCAAATGGTTAGTTGGTGCAACTAACATCAAAACCTCTAAATTTTACACTTAAAAAAAAGTCCTATTTAAAAAGTTACAAGTTTTAATTCCAGTAATGGCAGAATAAGGAGCTCTGGTGGACTAGTGGGTAAGTCATTTGTCTGCTAATCAGAACGTTGGTGGTTCAAACCTACCAGCTGCTCCATGGAAGGAAGATGAGGTAGTCTACTTCTGTAAAGACCTACAACCATGGAAAACCAATGGGGGTTGCTATGAGTTGGAATCTACTCAGTGGCAATGGATTTGGTCTGTTTTTTTGTTTAACGGTAAAGTAGCTTATATGAGATTGAAAAAATGAGTGAATTTCATAGTGGCTCCTAAAAAAGATATGTCTATATCTTAACCTCTAGAACTATGTTGTTATTGCTCTTGTTAGGTGCTATCAAGTCAGCTCTGACTCATACTGACTCTATGTACAACAGAAGGAAACACTGCCCTGTCCAGTACCAGTCTCATAATCCTTGCTACACCTGAGCCCATTGTTGCAGCCACTGTGTCAATTCATCTTGATAAGGGGCCTTTCCCTTTTTTGCTGACCCTCCACTTTACAAAGCATGATATCCTTATCCAGGGAATGATCCCCTCTGAAACATAAATATGTGAGATGAAGTCTGGCCATTCTCACTTCCAAGGAGCATTCTGGCTGCACTTCTTCTAGGACAGATTTGTTATTTATTCTGGCAATTCGTGGTACTTTCCACATTCTTGGCCAAGACCACAACTCAAAAGCTTCAATTCTTTGGTTATTGGTGTTATGTGCCATTGAGTCATCTCCGATTCATAGAGACCTTATGTACAATAGAATGAAACAATGGCTGGTCCTGGGCAGCCTTGTGATCCCTACTGTACCAGGACTCATCGCTGGAGCCACCATGTCAGCCCATCTTGTTGAGGGTCCTCCCCTCTTTCATTGACCCTCCACTTTACCAAGCATGACATCCTTCTCCAGAGAATGGTCCCTTCTAACAACATGACCAAAGTAGGTGAAATGAAGTCTGGTCATTCTCACTTTCAAGGAGCATTCTGGCTGCACTTCCTCCAGGACAGATTTGTTAGTTCTTTTAGCAGTCCATGGTACTTTCAACTTTCTTCACCAACACCACAACTCAAAAGCATCAACTCTTCTTCAATCTTCCTTATTCGTTGTCCAGCTCTCACATGCATATGAGGTGATTGAAAATACCATGGCTTGGGTTAGGTGCATCTTAGTCTTCAAGGAAACATCTTTGCCCTTCAGCACTTGAAAGAGGTCTTTTGCAACAGATTTGCCCAATCCAATATGTCTTTTGATATCTTGACTGCTACTTCCACTGGCATTGATTGTAAAACCAAGTAATATGAAGTCTTTGATAACTTCAGTCCTTTATCTATCATGATGCTGCTTATTGGTCCAGTTATAAGGATTTTTGTTTTCTTTATATTGAGGTGTAATCCATACTGTAGACTATAGTCTTCAATCTTCATCAGTAAGTGTTTCAAGTCATCCTCACTTTCAGCAAGCAAAGTTGTGTTGTCTGCATATTACAGGTTGTTAATAAGCCTTCTTCCACTCCTGATGCAATGTTCTTCCTCATATAATCCATTTTCTCTGATATTTGTTCAGCATACAAGTTGAATAAAATGCTGAAAGGATACAACCCTGATGCACTCCCTTCTTGATTTAAAACCATGCAGTATCCCTTTGTCCTGTTTGAACAACAGCCTCCTGATCTATGTACTGGTTCCTCATGTGTGCAATTAAGTGTTCTGGAATTGCCATTCTTCTCAATGTTATCCGTAATTTGTTATGATCCACACAATTAAATGCCTTTGCATAGTCAATAAATAAATCATTATAATGATTCCAAGTAAACATCTTTCTGGTATTCTTTGCTTTGCACCAAGATCCATCTGACATGAGCCATGATATCCCTCACTCCATGCCCCTTCTGAATCCAGCTTGCATTTCTGGAAGTTCTCTCTCAATGTACTGCTGCAACTATTTTTGAATTATCTTCAGTAAGATTTTGTGTGTGTGTTATCAATGATATTGTTTGGCAATTTCCACATTCTGTGGGATCACTTTTCTTTGAAATGGGTACAAATATGGGTCTCTTCCAGTCAGTTGGCCAGGTAGCTGTCTTCCAAATCTCTTGGCATAGCCAAGTGAGTGCCTCCAGCACAGCATCTGTTTGCTGAAACATCTCAATGGATATTCTGTCAATTCCCAGAGCCTTGTTTATTGCCAATTCCTTTAGTGCAGCTTTGACTTCTTTCCTCAGTACCATTGGTTCTTGATCATATGCCACCTCCTGGAATGGATAATCATCTACCAACTCTTTTTGGTATAGTGACTCTGTGTATTCCATCTATTTTCTTGTGATGTTTCTTGCATCATTCAACATATTTCCCACAGAATCTTTCAATATTGCAATTCGAGGCTTATTTTTTTTTCCCTCAGTTCTTTCAGCTTGAGAAATGCCAAGGGTGTTCTTACCTTTTGGTTTTCTAACTCCAACTCTTGGCACTTTTCATTGTAATAATTGACTTTGTCTTCTTTGGCTGTTTTTTGAAATCTTCTGTTCAGCTCTTTTATCCTGTCGATTCTCGCATTTGCTTTAGCTACTCTCCATTCAAGGGCAATTTTTAGAGTCTCCTCTAACATCCACTTTGGTCTTTTCTTCCTTTCCTGTCTTCTTAATGACCTTTGGCTTTCTTCATGGATGATGTTCTTGATGTCATCCCATAATTATTCTGGTTTTTGGTCACTGTGTACAATGCATCAAATCTATTCTTTAGATGGTCTCTAAATTCAGGAAGGATATAATCAAGGTCATATTTTGGCTCTCATGGACTTGTTTTAATTATCTTCAGCTTCAACTTGAACTTTCATATGAGCAGTTGATGGTCTGTTCCACAGTCAGCTCTTGGCCTTGTTTTGGCTGAAGATATTGAGCTTTTCCTTTGCCTCTTGCCACAGATGTAGTCAATCTGATTCTTGTGTACCACATCTGGTGAAGTCCACATGTAGAGCCACCATTTGTGTTGCTGAAAAAAAGGTATTTGCAATGAATAATTTGTTGGTCTTGCAAAATTCTATCATGCAATCTCTAGCATCGTTTCTATCATCATGACCATATTTTCCAACTACCAGTAATTCTTCTTTGTTTCCAACTTTTGCATTTCAGTCACCAGTGATAGTTAACATATCTTAATTGCATGTTTGGTCAATTTCAGACTGTAGAAGTTGATAAAAATCTTCAATTTCCTCATCTTTGTCTTTGGTAGTTGGTGCATAATTTTGAATAATAGTAATATTAACTGGTCTTCCTCATAGGCATGTGAATATTATCCTGTCACTGACAGCATTGTACTTCAGGATAGATCTTGAAACATTCTTTGTTGTGATGAATGCCACACCATTCTTCTTTGATTTGTCATTCTTGGCATAGTAATCATATGGTTTTCTGATTCAAAATGGCTCAAGCCAGTCCATTTCAGTTCAGTAATGCCTAGGATACCAATCTTTTGTGTTCCATTTCATTTCTGACTATTTCAAATTTTCCTAGTTTCATACTTTGTACATTCCATGTTCTGACTATTAATTGATGTTTGCAGCTGTTTCTTCTTATCTTGGGTCATGCCACATCAGCAAACATAGGTCCTAAAAGCTTTACTCCATTCACATCACTAAAGTAGGCTCTATTCTGAGGTGGCAGCTCTTTCCCAGTCATATTTTTAGTGCCTTCTGCCCTGAGGGGCTCATCTTCTGGCACTATCTCTGAAAATGTTTCAGGGCTATTTTTCAGTAATAGACAGTGTTTCACTGCTATTCATAAGGTTTATGCTGGCCAATTCTTTGAGAATAGGATGGCCTCTTCCTTCTGCTGAGTCTGTCTTAGTCTGGAAGGAAGTAGATTGCCCAGCCTTCCTTCTTAGGAGTGGCTGGGGGGTTTGAACCACAAGCCTTCTGCCTAGCAGTGAAATGCCTCCCTTAGCTGTTACAAATTGCTCCACTCCTATTTCCTAGCCTTCCTGACCAGTTCTGGCCCTCCAAAAAAGCTTCAACTCTAGAATCATTTTATGATCTTATTTCCAGAAGGCTGATGGTTCAAACCCACCAGCCACTCCTTGGAAGGACGATGGGGCCATCTACTTCCACAGTGATACAT